AGCTAAGAGAGATCCACTCTATCGCTAATATCATCGATGAAGTGCACCCTGAAATGATTCCTCTTCCCGAAGGTTCACCTCTACGCGAATCTCATAACGTAATCAATCTCGAAGAATTTTTATCTAAACCTACACTGGAAAAAAAGTATGTTGTCTTAACAAAAATTTTGTTCGAAAGTCGACGAAACAGAGTTCTGGTTAAATCGATCAGAATTCTTTTTAATGCACAAACAACTGATTTGTTGTGCAAACAAGATGCTTGTTGCATTAAAAAGAATTCCGGTCAATTTAACCTGACTTTTGTTAATACAACAATTTTTTCCAGTGTCTATAATTATTAAAAAATAAATACTGACTGTGAATCTAAAAGAATGACATTTTCCACCCTGAAATGATTCCTCTCCCCAAAGATTCACCTCTACGCGAATCTCATAACGTAATCAATCTCGAAGAATTTTTATCTAAACCTACACTGGAAAAAAAGTATGTTGTCTTAACAAAAATTTTGTTCGAAAGTCGACGAAACAGAGTTCTGGTTAAATCGATCAGAATTCTTTTTAATGCACAAACAACTGATTTGTTGTGCAAACAAGATGCTTGTTGCATTAAAAAGAATTCCGGTCAATTTAACCTGTCCTTTGTTAATACAACACAATTTTTTCCAGTGTCTATAATTATTAAAAAATAAATACTGACTGTGAATCTAAAAGAATGACATTTTCCACCCTGAAATGATTCCGCTCCCCAAAGATTCACCTCTACGCGAATCTCATAACGTAATCAATCTCGAAGAATTTTTATCTAAACCTACACTGGAAAAAAAGTATGTTGTCTTAACAAAAATTTTGTTCGAAAGTCGACGAAACAGAGTTCTGGTTAAATCGATCTGAATTCTTTTTAATGCACAAACAACTGATTTGTTGTGCAAACAAGATGCTTGTTGCATTAAAAAGAATTCCGGTCAATTTAACTTGACTTTTGTTAATACAACAAATTTTTTCTAGTGTCTATAATTATTGAAAAATAAATACTGATTGTCAATCTAAAAGAATGATATTTTCCACCCTGAAATGATTCCTCTCCCCAAAGATTCACCTCTACGCGAATCTCATAACGTAATTAATCTCGAAGAATTTTTATCTAAACCTACACTGGAAAAAAAGTATGTTGTCTTAACAAAATTTTGTTCGAAAGTCGACGAAACAGAGTTCTGGTTAAATCAATCAGAATTCTTTTAATGCACAAACAACTGATTTGTTGTGCAAACAAGATGCTTGTTGCATTAAAAAGAATTCCGGTCAATTTAACCTGACTTTTGTTAATACAACACAATTTTTTCCAGTGTCTATAATTATTAAAAATAAATACTGACTGTGAATCTAAAAGAATGACATTTTCCACCCTGAAATGATTCCTCTCCCCAAAGATTCACCTCTACGCGAATCTCATAACGTAATCAATCTCGAAGAATTTTTATCTAAACCTACACTGAAAAAAAGTTGTTGTCTTAACAAAAATTTTGTTCGAAAGTCGACGAAACAGAGTTCTGGTTAAATCGATCAGAATTCTTTTTAATGCAACAACAATCTTGTTTGCACAATTGATTTGTTGTGCAAACAAGGTGCTTGTTGCATTAAAAAGAATTCCGGTCAATTTAACCTGTCCTTTGTTAATACAACACAATTTTTTCCAGTGTCTATAATTATTGAAAAATAAATACTGATTGTGAATCTAAAAGAATGACATTTTCCACCCTGAAATGATTCCTCTCCCCAAAGATTCACCTTTACGCGAATCTCATGACATAATAAATCACGAAAGAATTGTTATTTAAAACCTATATATAATTACTGAAAAATAAATACTGATTGTGAATCTAAAAGAATGATATTTTAAATAAATAGATGAGCTCTGCGCGAGAGTTCTTGTACTTGAATCTGATAAGGTTTGACGGCACTCTTATACGATATCACGTCGGAGGAAGTGAAATTAGTGGAGCGAGTTTCCTTCTCAAAGACTAACCGCTCGTAGTTCCTCCCTCGCAATGGGGATTCGCCGTCTTCCTTAAAGCCCTTTCGGGAAACTTACGGGGCATCTGCTCCATCACTCTCTCCGTACATTTCGTTACATAATCGCTCCGTTAATATTCCACAATTTCTCTACCCCTGCCCCTACACATTCGAACAGCGGAGATCATTACTACGTATTATTATTAATTGATAATTAAGCGATGCGCGAGCGTCTCGCGGTAGCGATTACGAGACTGCATGTTGCATCGGATGCGATTATGGTACCAGATTCTTATAAGAGAGGCATCTGGTTTTGCGTGTAATCGTCACGTATACAGTTAATTTGACCCTAATCGTTCGCTCGAAAATCCTTTACAACCGATAAATGCCACCGATCTCAGCTTATAATTACATAGACATTTTACTCGGACACAAAACAGTCCCGCAGACACGCTGCGTGTATTAAGTCTAATCATCTCACAGGCTCTCGAAATACGCATCCTCGCGATAGGTCATCATATATAAAATCATTGATTATATTGGTCAACTCCAGATCTCTTTCAATTTTCAATCAAAATTTTTTATCGAGTTAATCTTGCAATATATGTTCAACATATAAAATATGAAAAAATATTTTGGACACTACAAAAATTATTAACTTGGCTAACAATAAATTGTTCTACTAAATAACTATTTTATTAATTAAACATATATAGAAATATTTAAATTTAATACAGCATCTTAAATCTAACAAAACACGTATTTCACTTAAATGCTTACACATATATGTTCAATTAACAAAATAGTAATTTAATTGAACGGTTTAGTCAAGTTGATAATTTTTTTCTCAGTGTATTTATATTTTCTTAAATTTAATTTGAAAATAGATTTTGTCGCCTTAATTAATTTTTTAACTTTAATTAAAAATTAGTTTCAATTTTATTTATAAATTAAGCGTCAATTTGTACAATGAAAAAAACTTTATAACTTGAATAAATCGTTCAAATAAATAACCATTTTATTAATTAAACATATAGAAATATTTAAATTAAATACAGCATCCTGAATCTAACAAAACATGCATTTTACTTAAATATACTTATATATGTTCAATTAACAAAATAGTAATTTAGTTGAACGATTTAATCAAGTTATCAATTTTTTCTCAGTGTATATATATATTAAATTTAATTTGAAAATAGATTTTGTCGCCTTAATTAATTTTTTAACTTTAATTAAAAATTAGTTTCAATTTTACTTATGAATTAAGCCTCAATTTGTACACTGAAAAAACATTTATTAACTTAAATAAATCGTTCAACTAAATATTATTTTGTTAATTGAACATATATGAAGAAATATTTAAATTAAATATAACACATTAAATATAACAAAACGTATAATTGACTTAAATACTATAATATATGTTCAATTAACAAACTAGTAATTTAGTTGAATGGTTTAGTCAAATTAACAATTTTTTTCAGTATAGCCAAAAAATTAGGAAATCAAAAATAATGATTACCAGGACTATATTGCCCTTATATCAATTATCGATTATATTCCGTGTAGCAAATTGTAAATAATATTAAAAAATAATAAAAAATCTTTGTTACACAAAGACGACCGTCGGCGGTGCCGGATATAACTACAAGGAAGAAAAATCGACGGTGAGATCAACAAAACCTAACCGATTATTGGGCCAACTATTTGGTCTAACTAGACGGGAAAGTGAAAAACTTCCAATGACATTAAAGTCGCATTAGTGAGGATCAAAAGGAAATGGGAATGGTTTTCCGGTCCAATTGTTTCCAAAAATGTATAGATTATATGCCAAAAGAACCGACAGTGACTTTTCACGCAATCTTCTAATCCACTTTGTGAAAAAATCCCGCCGATCTTGCAACACTTATATCTTATATCATTATAAATGGCAGGTTCTACCGAACCTGAAGAACGAAACATGACGTTTCATATCTGAACAAAAAAATGTATTATGAGAACAAGGATTTTTCATTCTAAAATATAAAATTAATTGCTTATGAAAAATTTTCAAAGAGTATAAAATTTGAAAAAATACTTAAAAATATATAGAAATTTTGTAAATGAAGTTTATGTTAGAAATTTATAGTAGGTTCTTATTTTTCATAATCGTAATTTTCTATCAAAAAATTTTTAAATTTAACAAACTAAATATAGATGAGACTATAATCGACAATTACTTACCTAGGACCTAGAAAATAAGACAAAAAATAGAAAGAAAAATATCTCACATATAACATTGAGTAAAGAAAATTCCACTTCGCACAAAACCGTTCTTTGATTAGGCGAATGTCCTGTGCATCAAGTTGATTGATCGTCCCTCGACCGGATACGAACTTTCTCTCGCGCGTATAGGGTTTTATAAAGATATTAACGAAGGGTCGTTTTTTTCGCGATAAACGACCATAAGCAGACGCGCGCAAAAAGGAGCAGCAGATCGGTGCTGGTTTTGGCGCTGTCTAAAACGCCTGAGCCGACCACCGATCGTAAGATACCGATAACCCGGTTAACCCCACCCTGGTCTGTTATTATAATATTTGCCGAGCCGAAATATAGTGATTGCTTATTTGCTCGAGTCCAATTACGTTCAAGCGTGCGCCGGCTGAGGGCCCGCGCTACGTGACGAGGGATATATATATATATATATATATATATATAGGGGAATAGGTACGAAGAGGAAGGCGCACTTGTTAGTCCCGAACGAGCCGACCAACCACCCACCCTGTATCCTATCTACCTGCCTCGACTAACATCGGCGACGCTGTAACGATTAGGTTCGCATGATCAGATACAGGCGAGCGTGATGTCTATTATTGCACGCAGAGTGAACGTGTTATGTTCAATGCATCAGCGATATATCGATGATTTTCCGTGAAAAATCCAGAATCATTTTCTTTTCGAAATCTAACATAATAAAACCGGAACGGGATCATCGGAAATCGGGTAATATTCAGTCTTTTTTTGGCATTTTTCTGTTCAGATGTTAAAATTAAGTATATACAAGATATATGTATTTTCGATTACCTGATATGACAGCGTTACGATGAAGCAATAGATGGATTAACTACGTCGCACAAAATTCTTAAATATCTTGCAGCCACTTTCAAGAATGTTGTTGCATTACAATGTATAAAAACATGTAGTCTGCTTGCTTTCTTCGTTCGAGTAAAAAAGAGACGAGTGTCCTGAGTCTTTTTTATGGTTTCCATAGTTTTAACAAACCATCCTCGCTATAAGAACATAATAAATTTTGATGGGGATGATGTGCCAAGCCGATCACGTCCTTTTCATGGATCTAAAAAAAATCGAATATCGTTAAATAAATCGAATGTTATCAGAATATAAAATAAATGTACATCCTGATTAAAATATACTTACATTGAGAGTTCTCTCGAGTTTCCCCGATGACGTGGAGAAACAGTACAGTACAAGATCCTCACCGACACAATAGATAAATTCGCCTCGCGGGCTCACTACTGTACATACGAAGTCACCTCCCTCTCGTTTACCGCTCGAAAACGATCTCACTATTTGTCCTTGCATATTCATAATTACTACCGTATTGGAACGGTTACATACGACAAAGTGTTCTGGATTCCTGGGAAGGGGATGCACGCTGTTCACTGTGAGATCAGCGGCTCCCAACGATTTGTAAGTTCCTATGCATTCGGTAGTCTTCAGGCTCCAAATTTTCACAGTTCCATCTGATGACGCACTATAAAATAAAAAAAATGATATATATTTGCGCACAGAAAAGGACATAATTATCTTTATAAAAATCTTTATAATAATACCTGATTATATTATGACCATCTGGAGAAAAAACGACTTCGTTAACAAATGAAGTGTGACCACGAAACTCCTTGAGAGTTTTTCCAGATTTGAGACCATGTATTCTGTAAGAAAAAAGAATAAATCGTTATATAGATAATATTATATTTATCTTTATAATCTATATTTGCCAATTCTTTCTTCGTTTTACCTTATGGTCGTGTCAAACGAAGCTGATAAAATTTGACTGTTATCTCTACTGAACTGCAAGCAGGTCACACCCTTTGAATGCGCTTTTTCGAATCTTCTCACGCATTGTCCATTCTGTACTTTCCAGACCTTAATTTTGCCATCTTGACCGCCGCCTGCCAGCATCTCGCTGTCGCGACTAAACGACATCGACAGCACTGCTTGCTCCATCATCATAAAGTTGTCTTGCGCTTGATACTTCAAGTCTTTTCTAATTTTACCAGTTGTAAAGTTCCACACCTCGATAAAACCGTCTACCGAGCCGGTTACCAGGAACTGACCGTCAGGCGAGAAACGCGCGCACTCCACGTGCGATTTCTGGCCGAATTTGATTTGCTTTGACAACTGTGTAGGATATTTTTCGTCCTCCTGATCGCGAACTGCCGCTTTTCCGCGAAACAAGTCTATTGTGGTACCAGGAGGTAACAGACCCTGATGTTGTTGCCACTTCAATGCTTGCCCCAACAGAGCAAGCAATCTGCTAGAGGGTACTACTGATACTTCACCAGCTAGAGCAGTGGCTATATATGCTCTTCGTTTTTCCTTTGTGCTTCCATCGGGATATGCCTCGCGTGGATCAAAATATGAACGTGCAAGTAGATTTTCTGTAAAGAAAGATATGATCACATGATAAAGTTATATTTTATAATAATTACAGAAAAAATAACACTTTTATAATATAATATATAAATATATTATATATATATAATATGTATAAAAATATATATTATATATATGTTCAATAATGTTATATACCTAAGTGTATGTATCTCTCAGGCTCTTGCTGCTTCATCATAATCATGGGATCAGTTTGTCTTAATAAGGAACGTGCTGCACCTAATTCTCGTAGTTCAATTAATTCTAGAACAACCTAAGAGAGAAACAATAAATCCATCAATATTGTTTTATTAAAAAAAATGTTATATTCCTTATACAACATGTAATTTAATTTTTTTTAATTTAAAGAGAAAGATCTGTACGTTACAATTAAGTATTTTAAAAAATATCAAAATTACTTTTAAGTAATATACATTTTACTTTTATAAAGAATCACATAAACTTTCAATGCATGTTTCTGATTTAAAACATTTACCTGTTCATACAAGTCAATGAGTTTCTTATCAGGTAATTTTAATGACTGTATAGCTTTCAAAACTGTGTCCCAGTGGCCATTATTTATATCAGCAACAAATCCATCCACACTGTCAACAGTATTCAACGACACACCTGTCTCCTCCTGTATACAAAAATTTATTAGAGAGCAAATAATTTAAATATCTAGCTATGTCTAACAGAATAAAATATATCGAAATTACCTGTAAAGTTTGCAGCGTCTTCACGAGATTTGCTTCCTTGAGATATTGCTGTATCAATCGAATTACGCTGAGACATAATAAATGAGGTTATTACACAACACAATTCGCGTACACAATCACGATGTTACCTTACAATAATCAAAATAAATTAAGATAATCTTACTCACTCGGCAGATTCGATTTCGATCGACATTTTGAATTATTTTACAGTTTACAAACAAATAAAAATAGAGATGCGTATGTGTATGTTGTGAAGTTGACAAGACAAGCTTTTTTGAATGCGCCACTAGCGACACTATCGACACGCGGCAACATTATTGATCTAGTATTGGTCATTCTAGACAGATGCCGCTGCGATCGATTTATGTATGTCGCGGACACTTCTCTCCTCTCTCTTCACGTCTTTGCCCCAGTCTTCTTTTGGTTGGCATAGCATCAATAATATATAAACTGCACAAATAAAGTGCGGCTATTTAAAATCTGCTCTTTGACAATGTGAGAGCCAAGAGCTTTAATTCGGCCGTAAGTATTCCTGGAATATAATTATTTCTTATCGTGCCATTAGATTTACGATTTAAAAAAAAAATCCTTTTGACTCTGATACTTTGACAAAAGTCTATTGTGTGTGATATTCGACTTTTTTTCTACATAATCTCGTTTAACTGCTGTTTTTTCTTACTTTTAGAATTTTAGCATCTTGATAACGCAATTATTGATCGTGATAAATATAGTGGAGATAATATTGAAATATTTTGAATAGCAATTGAGCATACAACTTCTATTCGGAGAGTCTCAGGATCAGAATTTTATGGTGTAAATTTTTATATTTTCTAGATTGAAGGTCTAATTCTCTTCTAATCATGAAAGGCACTCTTCTGTTCGTAATATTGCTTCAAACATGGATCAGTACGGTTCAACTGTGTCCACAACACTGTTCATGCAAACCAATTGGTGCTCAGGCCGAGTGGCTACGTCTTAAATGTACTGATAATTTACAAGAAATCAATGATGTGGATATTAATGCAGTCAGCGTTGAACTTGTACAACTGTATGTACAATATTATTTTATACTTTGTATGTGTTTTTTTTAGTTTGTAACAATATGGTATGACAATAATTGAATACTCTTTTACAGAGACTTTAGCAAAAATAATATCTACGTCATTCAAGCAGATGCATTTGTAAATCTAACAAATCTCAAACGGCTTGATTTATCAAAAAACAAGATTAATTCTATAGGCGAATATAGTTTTAATGGCCTAGAAAATTTGGAGAAACTGTAAGAACTTATACACTTGTTGTTTATAAGTTTGCTTTAATTATTTTTAATTTTATGAAATGTATGTTTTCAGAGATTTAAGCCAGAATCAGATATCAACGATAGACAGTTATGCATTCAAAAAATTACCAAACCTCAAAAACTGTAAGTTTACAGTATAAAATAGCATATAAATGTTTTTTTTTTTTTTTTTAAATATATTACTTTTTATCTTATATATTTTTTGCCTTATTGCTCTAGTGATTTGTCTGGAAATAAAATAACTACTCTGGCGCCATTCTTATTTGATAATTTGCTGACCTTAGATCGCTTGTAAGTTAAAGCGCGTTTTATTTATGTTAGTGCACATTAGTTTTAATAGTGGCGTTTCAGCGTTTTTATTATATGAAAAACTATTTCATATTTTATAAGAAAATATTTTGTTGTATTATACAAACTTATGTCGCAACATTTTAGGAAATTAAATGGAAATAGCTTAACTACCTTGAAAGAAGGAACATTTCATGGACTTAAAACGTTAAAACAGCTGTTAGTATATATCAATTCACATATTACATTTATTATAAATATTTGCATAAAATTTATAGTATACTTTGTATTTCAGAGACCTATCCAATAATCCCTGGAATTGTAATTGTGATCTATATTGGATCAGTAATTGGATTTCCAATTCTACAATTAAATTGAAGTAATATATATTGCATATTGGATCATTTACAATGTATTTATATTATAACTCTTTTACATTCAATTTAATATTTCAGTTCATCGCCAGCATGCGCCTCGCCTGTAGGTGTCAAAGGACAACTTCTGAAGAAATTAAGATTTTCAGAAGAGCTTCAATGTCAATGGATATCACCAGCAATTGAAATTCGACCAGTGCAAAATCAAGTAGTTTTTGCTGGAGATTCAATTACATTAAAATGTAGAGCGCCTAGCATTACAGTAGACCACAGTGCTAGATTAAATTGGTTGTGGTATCCTAATGCTTCCGCTGAAATCGTGGACCTGAGTGCTTACAAGGATCCGCGAAAGAGTTTACCCAACATTAAGATTGACAACAGATATCTTTCGGACAGCGGCATTGTAGACAGGTAATATAGAGTTCTTCAGATTATTTCAAAGTATCATGTATTGAATAACATCTACACATCTTTTACATTTTTTTCAGTGCTCTTAGTATAGTTCCGGTTAAAGAGGAACACAATGGACAATGGAATTGCTTATTGGTTTCCGTAAACGGTAACAAGTCCAAGGCAGTCAGCGTAATTGTGATATCCGAGCATACACGTTATTGTCCTCTAGCAGGTAAATGAACGGTTTTGTAGTATAAAGGAATCGTTAAAAATATAAATCTCTTTTTTTCTAGTAACAAGAAACAACAAGGGCGTTTATACCTGGCCGAAAACGATAGTGGGATGGAAAGCAGAACTACCATGCGAAGGCAGTCGTTTATTGCAAACACCTTTAACAGCTTCTTATCACTGCAACATGACTGGTCAGTGGGAACACTTGAATACGGAATTATGCCCGTATGTCTCTCATACGACGAAGATCTTGGAGCAATTTTCGAGAGTAAATCTATCCCTAGCGAGGAGTACTCTGCTGGAAACTGTAAAGAGATTTAAGAATTACACGGGAAACGGCTCGGTAAAGTTAACAGATCCGGTTGAGATCCATTTCATAGTACGAACCATAGAGAATTACTTGAGCTTCTTGATGGACGAGAAGGAACTCGGAATCATGCTGATCGACGTCGTCAGTTCGATGATGAAATTGTCGAAAGAAATGTTGAAGAGAGCGGAAATAAGCTTCAAAGCTTGCACCAGACTGATCAAAACGATCGAACGTATAACGGAATTTACACCGTCCATACAATCTCACACGAAACACTTAGCGCTCGAAGAGTTTCGAGTTAGGCGCGACAGTTTTGGTGGATTAACGTGCACGTGGTATACAAATATTGTCGTGAATGCCGATTCAGACGCGAGATTTTTGCACTGTACAACGATTAACAGAACCATACCGATTGATACGAAGGACAAGATGATAGAAGCTTCTATTCGGTTGCCTGCCTCTTTGCTGCAACGTGCACAAGATAGTGTGATAGCTCAACAGCTCATGATATCCATGTTTAGCGACAGCAGATTATTTCCCAAGATAATTTCAAACGATAGCATGGACATATCAACATGTATTGTTGGCAGTAAACTAAGTAAGTCGAAAATTATGATTATATATCCTTATGTTATATAGTACTACTTTCATATTATGTGAATGATTTTGATTCATGACTTACATTGTATGTCAATTTTTTGCAGTTGGTGCATCGATACGAAATCTTTCCGAACCAGTTTACGTCATGTTGAAAGCACCGTTGTATTATTACAACGGGAGAAGAGTACCGATACCAGTAGTATGGGACGAAACGTTGAACGATACTGGAGCTTGGACTAGCGATGGATGTCGGTTGAAGAATCTCTTGAATAATTTGATAGTCTTTCATTGCAACAGATTAGGTTATTATGGACTTTTGCAGGAAGTTTCGCATCTTGATATAAATGGAAATAGGTACGAAATCCTTCTGCAAATATTTTTCTTCAAGTTTTCTTTTCTATCGTCATTCTCTTGTTATTGTTAATATGTCATTTTTTGCAGCATGCATGGAGCGAAATTCAGATATTCACACCCGGCGATATACATAGGAAGTTTTGTGACGATAACGTGCTTGATGATCATGTCCGTGACGTACATTATTTCTTATACATCCATCACAATGCCTAAAAAAGCGAAACATTCTGTTATCAATACCTGGTTCACCATGGCACTACTATCATTTCTATACAGTATCGGCATTCAACAAACCGAACACCTCGAGATTTGTCAAGGCGTCGGCCTCACTCTACATTATTTGTCTCTGTGTTGTTTGTTATGGATGGCAGTATCTGCCAGGTAAGTGTATATATATAAAAATAAATTTTAAAGATAAATAAAACAAAATTATGAACCGCGAGATCATATTCTGTTTCAGCAATATGTACAAAAACTGGCGAAATCAGGCCTCGATGTGATACCTGACGATGATGTGGATCCTGATCAACCTCTACCCAAGCCCTTGTTAGGACTGTACCTGGTTGGATGGGGTGTGGCCTTAATAATCTGCGGAATCTCCGGCGCGATCAATTTGCGCGAATACGCCGGCTACTCTTATTGCTTCCTTACGTCTGGACCTGGGCTCGCTGCGCTTTTCATACCGTCCGGAATCTTAATCGGGTACCTGCTGATCTTCCTCTTGCTCATCAGACGTGCCATTCAGAATGTCGATGTAAACGCGCAATTATCCGAAGGCACTCAGGCAACGGAGAACATGGATTTGGAATTGTTGGAGCCGAATCCAAATCCTTCTGGGGATAGAAACAGCGTGCGCAGCGCGCAGACAGTTTCTTCCGACATCGAAGATCCGGAACACTCGCAATTTACACAGTGGAAAGGCCAAATTGTCATGCTAGTATTATACCTGATATCCTGGGCCAGCGCAGCTGCAGTGACGGTGAAGCCGTTGAATTCCATGCCCTTCGAAGAGACCATATTCGCGGTGATATACACCATTAGCGTAAGCTCGCTTGGTATGTTCGTCCTATTCTTCTACGGAATCGCTCGCAACGACGTTCGCAACCAGTGGTTAAAGATGCGCTGCTGGCTGGAGAAGCGGAAAAATCGTTGTTGCCGCACCAGAAGCGTGTGCGACGCTAATGCCGCGATTCCGACGCAGCCTCTGGTGCAAAACCTCGTCCCACCGTTGTCGAACGCGCAGGCCGCTCAAGCGATATCCGATACGAATTCCGTGGCTTCATCGAGGAACACCAGCCAGTCGCAACAGATGTACAACTGCTCGAAACTCGCAGATTTTGTGGCCGCCAGCCGAGACAGCGTGACACCCGCCGTTCCTGTCAGCGCGAAGGCAGCCAATCTGATAGTCTTGCATCGTCAACAGTATCGCTCCAACAATTCCGTCACCACATACACCGAGCCGACGTCGGCCTGCGTGGAAATGTTCTACAATCCTCATCAAAGCGGCGTCGCCAGGAAGTTCTTCAAGAAACAACGTAGACACTCCGCGAAGAAGAATAATCTCGGTCCCAGGAAGCAGGGCGACGGCGGGGCGACAAGCGACGGAGGCAGCTGCGTTTCCATACCCCGGCCTACGGCGAAGATCAACAATAGCCTGGACCGCAGCATCCTGAGCAGCAGCGCCAAAGTGAACAACACCAATATACACGTCGAACTGAACCCCATAAACGACGTTAAGAACGTAAATATATTATCGGATAGCGGTGGCAGCATCTCCGAGGAGAGAAACATCCCGATACGCTTTGTCATCGGCCAGGAGAATCTGTTGCGTAGCATCAAGAAGATCAACAACGGCAGTCCTGCGCGGCAGGACAATTCCGTTTCGATAGAAACGTCGCAACCGAAGAGACAGACGGACTCGGACGCGGATGTCTCGAAGACAGATGAGGAGTGGCACCTGCGGAACGTCTCTCAACAATGTAGCCTGGAATACAGCTCCGAGATGGACACGCAGATGACCAGCGAACGAAGCGATCACAACCTGCCGGAGATCTGCGAGAGCGCAGAGGAGTGTTTCTCGAAGAAGAGATACTCCGGTGACGCAAATGAGGTCGAAGTCGTTTCGGAGGAACGTCTTACAGCGAGACGGTTGTATCTCTCCAACAGTATGTACTGCCTACCGTTGGAGCATGAGAGACCCTTAACAAGCAGTTACTGTAACTCGTTAAACGACATTGTACAGCATCGCGAGTACTCCAAGGCGTCGCTTACAGATGTACAGAATGCAATCGGTTCGAATCTGTGCGGACAAGAAGTTCCTGAATCACGACGATCGTTCGATCGTTCGGAACGTTCGCTCTTCGAGATAAACAGCCTGGCTAGTGATAATCCGTGTACATTGACACCGCAGGCAGAAACTCCCTACGCCTGTTCCCTGGCGAATATCCATTGCATCTCCGACAAAAGTTTGGAGGACAATCTTTGCGAGGAATCGCAAACGTCAGATGTAGTAGATAATAATGTGTTTAACGTACCCGAGTCGAAGGATCTTTTATTAGAAAAGAATTTCGATTCTCTCGCTGATATTCCGTCAATTAGTAAATCCAGCTCGCACGATATTAATAATTTTAGTTTAATCAATGAAACGAGCGCGTGTTTGGAGCCTAGAAAGTCGTGTGATATTCAACAGTTCGAAGCTAATGAGATCTATTTGCATGAACCAGTGAGTCATTTGCCTGTTAAAAAAGAAACAAGCGTTTAATGTATAATAATTTCGCTCACTTCCTACAACGACGTGTTTATTTTATTTATTTTTTTTTGTTTTTCATAACTTTATGTATGAGAACTAGCACATTTGTGTCATTTGTATTATACATATACGAATTAATTTCTACTAAAACTGTGTTCAATAATGTTCCGAGCATTAAATATTTGTATTTTTATTATTTATATCACGCATTTTAAAAATAATTTAAAGAATTTGTATATAATAAAAATTAAATATATATATATATATATATATATATATATATATATACATATATATAGATAGATAGATAGATAGATAGATAGATAGATAGATAGATAGATAGATATAGATATAGATATAGATATAGATATAGATATAGATATATAGGATATCTTTAGCCAAGCTTGACGATTTTAAAACTCAATATAAACATTACATACTAATTAACCAAAGCTATTAAATGATTTCAATTTGTTAAAGAAATTTAATTCAAAAAATTTGGATTTAAAAAAAAGGACAAAACACTTGATTTTTACAACATTACTCATCATATATCCAGAATACTTTTGAATTATCACGTGAAGACGTGAATATAAAATTATTTTGGCTGTGAAACATTTTCTTTCAATTTTATCATCTATGAATAATTGTACTGAGAGCAATATTTTACAGTATTATAATTATTTTCTCTAATTTTTTATGGATATCTGCATTTTTATGATGTCTAAAGTTTATACAATATTATATTTTATCTTAAGAAGATTGATATCATGCTTTGTATAACTGCCTAATATATAAACTGAAAAAGACATATAGGAAAACTATTTCTGTAAATTGAAGACTGAGAATTAAAAAATTAAATTTATGAGATTAAATATCATTACCAATCGACTTTTACAAATATATATGCATATATATCTTAACTGTACGAAAAAATTTTCTTGGCTATCATGCCTGGTACTATATTGTAAATAGAATTTGATTAAGTTTCTAGAATGAAGTAATTCATATGAAGTGTAGTTTATATATAAGTTAAAGAGAATAGCTCGAAAGATTTTACATATTTCTTTGTATACTATTTAATATTTTGACTTTTATACATATATATATGTATATTTTAACTTTTATACTAATTTCTTAACAAATTATAAATTTGAATATATGTATGATTGTACAAGACCAGTTACTCTAATTATACGTGTATATTGTACAAAATCTATGTCTATTTTATACATAATTATTTACAACATATTTCTATAATACTTGACATTCCAGGAACCTTCACACACCTAATGTCGAATACTCAAAGTTGGAACGCAAAGTATATGTGATGTAAATTTATATATATGTATAATTTTATATTATAATATTATATATATTAAATTATATTATATTATATATATATATATATATAGTAATATATATATATATATATATATATATAATTTATAATTATTATATATAGTAATATATATTTATAATAATATATATATCTATAAATATAATATATAAATTTATATACATCTATATATTCTCATCTCTCAAAACTGATAAACGCTTCTGTTGTTTCGGATCTCGATCATATACTAAAATAATAGTAATTTATCATATATCCTTGTACTATCCCATAATTGTTCCCAATTGAAAATTACTTCGGAATTACATGCATTACAATCTAAATTTTTGCACCTTTCGACTTGGGTTCGTCCAACCAATCTTTCGGATTTTTCAGTACTTCCAAAAGCTGCGATTCCTTCGAGCCGTCTTTGGGCTCCTGCATGTACTCCCATTTGGCATTCAAGGGCAGAGACATGAGGATGCTTTCGTATCGCGCCCCAGGTGTATATAGGCCGAATTTGGTTCCTCGATCATAGATCAAATTAAACTCGACGTATCTACCTCGTCGCAATAATTGCCATTGTCTCTCGTGGTATCCGTAGCCGTCGTCCTTGTGCTTCTTCACCAAGGGAATATATGACGGAATGACTGCCTCGGCACACGAGGTCACGAACTGAAACGCCTCGTTCTGACTTGGATTGTCCAGGTCGTCGAAAAATATCCCGCCTACGCCGCGTCGTTCTTTACGATGTTTGATGTAGAAGTAATCGTCGCACCACTTCTTGAACCTGGCGTAGTAGGAAGGGTCGTGCTTGTCGCAAGCGGTCTTCAACGTTTTATGGAAATGCTCGACGTCCTCCTCGTTCAGGTAATACGGCGTGAGATCCGTGCCGCCTCCGAACCACCATTGTGTGGTACCATCTGAATTCTCTATCTCAAAGTAACGATAGTTGAAATGAATCGTAGGAATCATAGGATTGCGTGGATGAATTACAGCACTTACGCCTGCGGCGAAGAAGGGTACAGAGTCTTCCATCTTCTTGCCACGTGCTCTCATCTGTGTAATCGCATTAGGTGGCAATATGCCATTCACCACAGAGACATTAACGCCAGCTTTCTCGAATACTTGCCCATCTTGTAGCACGCAGGTGATACCGCCACCACCCTCTTTCCTGGACCAGCGATCCACTCTGAAAGTGGATCCATCGTTCTCCAACGATTCAAGGGCTCTGCAGAAATCTGCTTGTGTCTTCATCACCAGCAGCTCCATTTTCGTCCTCATGTTATTCTGATCCTCCTGTAATTTCTCGACAGACGTGATAGGCTTTGCCATAAAAGTTTTAACATAATTGTGCAAATCTTTGTGCGCTGCAAAAACTGTGGTGACATTAGATACACTATAGGCTGCGAGTCCTGTCAAGATTCCTGTTCCAATATGCTTGAGATGTTTTGATTTGCTCCATGTAATGTAGCAGTTTATACTGTGGCCACATAGGTTTTTCCAATTCCTTAAAAGGATATTTGTAGCCATTCTTTTCAATTATGTGTATTAATATCTGTAACAAAATTTGAAATCTTATTTTTCTGCAGGATTTTTCCCACGCAAGATATTCTTATAATTATATAATTGAAAACAGTTTTTCGATTTGATATCAGATCATTAGATTAGATTAATAATTAATATCCATGATTGAAAAATCGCTTGAAAAATGAAAAATAATATCTTTTCCAATTCCTATTCCTTGTATACTCAACACTTGTCTAACATGATTAAGAATAGGATTATTAATACTTACTCTATTAAATAAAAAATGGACACGAATTTCAAGAAGAAAATATTGAAGTTTTGAAATATTCAATTAGTTTCACGAGGTTAGAAACTCACTCGATAAAACAGTGCGTGTATAATAAAATTTCACACAATTTATCACATAAGAAATTAATAAAATTTATTTTAGTATAAAATTGCAATAAAATATTGATAAAATTAATTTTGATAAAATGACAAGCCATTTAATTTAATAACTTGAAAAGTTCAGATGTTAAATGTTTAATAAGCAGCAACACACATCTACTTCATGGCAATATTTATATATTTTTCTAAATTCGAATATAACTGCTTCATTCGTTATAACAATTGTAAATTAGTAAACATGTGTTATTTATACAGTTTTATATGCTAGGTTGATCTATTGCTTCATAGATTTCATATTTATGTCTGATGGTGTTCTCATCAAAATATGTGTTAAATTTTTTCCAGTCTCGTCTACGTTTAGGATTCCTTTTACTCCACTTTGGAGCCAAGTTTGGCATCAAGCCTATAAGAAGAAAGAAAAACAATTATTAACATATATTTCTAAATGAAACAATGTACAATATATTTAAAGCAACACTTGCAAACCTGCTTTCTGAGCCATAGCTACCAGGGTGGAAACTCTTTTCTGTTGCACATCACACAGACCCGTTATTCTACGTGGTAACATACAGCCATCTGTTCGCAGGAACTGACTTAGTATAAGAACATCCTGCAAAAGATAAGAATAGCTTTAAATTAGCACAAAATAGAATATAAACCATGTCACCATAGAGAGAACTTACTGTATGTTTAACATTAAGTCTTGTGGCACAAAGGGGACATGCTTTGCATTTCAGTTTCACTTGCAGATGTTCCTTCTTGTTAGGTACAATACGAGCTTCGATGGTTAAAACCTTGCCATCCTTCTTTTCGATTACTGTGTCAAATATATAATAAATAACATTTTAGCAGACGAATATGTAGAAAAAGATTTTTAAGATGCATTCCCTATTTAACAGGTAATATTTAATAGCAAACTTTAATAACAAATATAAATAACATTTTAGCAGACGAATATGCAGAAAAAGATTTTTAAAATGCAGTCCCTATTTGACAGGTGACATAATATTTAATAACAAACTCACTTTCTCTTAAACATGTGGTTGCGGACAGCGATATATTTCTAATAGGTTCAGGTATCATTAAACTTTTCCCAAATTGTTTTATATATTGACATAGGATCGCCATCCTTGTTTAATTGTAAAATTATCAACATGCAGTGCAGCGCACAGCGACTGTCACAAATTTCTATTATACTAGATGGCGATGCATAATCGAGAAAACGGAACGTCATAGACATATAAAATATATAGACGGGCAAAAGTAACATTTCAGTAATTTTAGTAATTTCTAGATACAATTTGGTGATTTCTTTCATTTAGCGCAGAAATTATGTATTTTTCAATGGCGGAACGATAACGGATATTTGTGGCTAGTTGATGTGCGACGATATATGGTGTAATATAAATTCAATATTTATTACAAATAAAGATGTTATAAATGTTTGGTTGGATACAGATGAGAAAGAATAAAATCTCTAACAAATCTATGGATGTAAGAAATTGAGATATAATACCAAAAATATAATATATATTTGTATTGTAATTAATTTTTTTATATAAAATATCGAAATAAGTAAGGCAGAATTCTCCAGATAAATTTGTGAACTCTAAATTCAGAGTGCGTTTTACATCGTTATCTCTATAAATACGCACATATTTGTTGGATAAAAGAATTACACATCAACTACATTAATATGCCGAAAATACCACAAATGCCGAAAATTCGAAAGGTCAAAAGGGTTAGTGTGCTTACTAAAAGGTCACAGTGCTTAGGAAAACATTACAAGGAACGATCATATAGACCATGTAAGAGAGTTAGAATTCTTCATCGATTGCTTATCTTAAGTATATTTTTTTCTATATTATTGTCATTATTTTATTAACAAAATTATTTATTTTCAGTATATGAAAAATTAAAGAGCAACAATAGCTTCTTGGCGAAGGCTCTTTCAAAGGAAAAACAAAACAGTCAATCTTTATTTACGCAGAATGTTCAGCTAATTGCAGAGAATCAACAGTTAAACCTAGTATGCAACACACAAAATGTAAGTATAATTAACATTGAAAAATAAAATAAGTGCATGAAACACAAATTTATTTATTAAAACAAAAGTAATAACTGACACAATTTTCAATCAGAATGTAGAAAGATTAGAAGATTGTACAAAAAAAAAAGGGATAAATATTGGGAAAATGCTATTAAAAATCTTAAATTATATATAGATATATAATATTGTGGTGATCATATTGACACATGCACAATTGCAATAGCTGAAACACACACACATACAGACACACATATTCAAGAACGAATATCATGAGGAGAAATAAGGAACGAACACAACAGACGAGACAGAAAATCAAAGATATGAATCGAGATTTGTATTTACTTCTTGCTTCTCGATATTTATTCCCGAATGTGTCTGTATGTGTGTGAGTGTTTTAACTATTGTGGTTGAACATGTGTCAATATGATCTCCACAATATTTATTATAGATTATATAATATTGATTATATAAATATATAGATATAATAGATTTATTTAAATTTTTTAATATGTTTATTTTTATCAAATTTATGCAATATATTTTGGTTTGATTCTTTCCTAGTTTTATTTTGTTCTAATTTTTAATCAACATTTTTAAAATCTTTTAAAATTTGGAATTTTTAATTAATTTATATTTATTATCTGTTTTTAGACTGTGATTGCTAATGTAGTGAATAACTCGAAAGAAATATTGAAGATGTTGATTACTTTGACTGGTTACATAACAAGTACTTTATCTATGTGTCAAGAACTCACTGCTTCCACTACCACTAGGAGAATATCATCTATTCCAGATGAAAGTAAGGAATATTTCAACATTGTTGCTAAATTTCAAAGATTTCTTGCAACTTACTGTACATTTTTGTTAGAAACATATTATCTCTGTACTGTATTGTAAATCTTTATATTTTTGGAATATTTCAGGAAAAGAACCATCTAATAGATTGTCAACAAAATCACCTACTAAAGGTGTAGTAAAACCCATGGTGGGTGGACACACTATTACTAAACCCACAATTAATTTAAGTCGAGTTAATATGGAAACTATATCAAGATTAAGTGATATACAAGAAGTAACCACTCCTAATAGTTCAGAGATAAGTGAAAATCGATCATCAATTACTGTTTCTTTACCATCTACGCCACTTAGATATGTATGTATATATTTATTTTGTATCATTATTTTTATATACACATCTATATATCTATTTTTTATAAACATGCAATTATTTTAGGAAAATAATCGAAATTCATGTAGAATGCCAGAAAGACTAACGATCTCTTCACCTAGAATTAATGGTAAATTATTCATTTATGCTTAAATTACTTAATCGTGATAAATTTCTTGCTCAATTAATATAATTATTAACATTTAGATACATCACTTACATCTGCTGATGAAGAAAGATTAAGAAGAAGAAGAAGAAATCATTCCAAGCGAATATCAGGATCTTATTCGCGATCGCGAAGCAGATGGTCTGATGAAGCTCCAACAACCAGCACAAATTATATTAATGTAGCTAGTCCTACAATACAACTTAAAGATATATCCAATTTACTACGTAATTCTCAAACTATTAATATTAGAAGAGTAAGTCCTTATCTATATATACATACACACACATATATAAAATATTTCTAATAAAATACTTTCTTCTTATCTTTTATTTGGAAATATTATATATTGTCAAATTGTTAATGTAGCATTACTATTTTTGTAGATAATTGAGAACAGAATTGATGACATTGAAAATCAGGAGAATAATGATAATGCGCCTGGTCCATCAGAAAGAAATGTCATAATATCAGAGACCCATATGTCTAATTCAAACGAAGAAAATAAAACACACGCACAAACATCAAAAAAGGATTCCAATATACAAATAAGCAGCAAGGATAAAGGTCTTAACAAAAATCCAAATGTAATGGAAAATTCAAGATTGTCGCAGACTAATACTAGGAATTGGGAAGAAGAAGATCCGTTAGAAGGTCCAAGCTGGCTATTTAATAATACCATACCATCGCGGGATACTGAACCAGAAGAGCTTAATCATTCACATGATCTTTCTGATGTCAATAATAACACATCTCAATTAATATATGATGATGATGAATCGAGTAGTGCAGAAAGTAATACAGAAGAGTTATCATTGCAACAAAATTTAAATGAACCTGTGAGTGATGTTCAAATTTTAGATACAGATTCAACACCTGTCACTGATCACTGTGAATCTTATTCGCATGAGAATAATGAAAATGATGATAATTTTTGCCAACTTTTATCAGCAAATGTAGTCAGTCGTAAAGAAAATTTATATAATATAGAGGATAGTGATTCTGGAGAGGATACAATAAATTTTGCACGTTTTGTGACACTAAGACGAGGAGAACACCCCGAAGAGACAGAAGATTTTACACTAATGTTATCGCGTCAACCAATGCGAAACATGCAATTTAATATTAATGAGCTGAGATTGCCTAATTTGGAAGAAACCACGATGAATATTAACGGGATTGACACCGATGCTACTGCAAGATCAAGCATTGCGAATAATTCGATATTATCTGCGTCAAATCAAACTCTCAATGAATCGGAACGCGATGAGACTGCCATGAGAAACCTACCATTAAGTTCAGTTGAGGATAATGAGACAGAGTCGACATCACAGAAAAAGAATTTAAATAGAAAGGCAAAGAAAGATGTAAATAAAATAGCGAAAACGTTGAACTCGGAAAATGAGATAAATCATATAAAAAATAATTCGAAAATTGAGAACAAGACAAAACGAAAAGATAAATCGCGAAATAATAAAGATCCAAGCAAGGCGAAAGTTGTTTTGGAGAAGCTTAATGAATATCATGTTAAATCGAGAACGCCATTAGCTGATGATATAGAATCTCGAAACTCTCATGATCACATGTATGTATAATTATAAATTGTTAGAATGTTTGTGTATAAAAATTCTTTTCACGAATTGTGTAAATTATACAAGCATTTAATATTTTGGATTTGCAGGAAAGAAACTATGTCCAATTCAGAACTAGACGAAACTGGGGATTCGGAAAGTAATATGAACACTAACTATGCTTCAGGTCGCCTTAGACGAAGAAAGGCGCCGGTAAATTTGAAAGAGCCTACTTTGCAAAAGTAAGTAAAAATGGAATAAAATACGTCTAATAAAATTTATCTTATTTAAATATTGGAATACTGTAGAAATTGTAACGTTATATTTCTCTGTCTTTTAGGAAACTAAGACGAAATTAACGAGAAGGCTGATAAATAACAAATATAAAACAAGATAAATTATTATTCGTATTATCAATATGATGATTGATGTAAATCAAGACAAAATTATTATTTGCATTATCTTATTGATGAAATGATGCTGAACGGTTTTTTTTTATTCAATTGTGATTTTTAACAGAGTAATGTAAAAATAGTTCTGCATAACATATACAAATTATTTGAACAGTTATAAAATATTAAATGCTACTCTCTCTATCATTTTTTCTTTTTTTTGTTAGCTGATGTTTTAGAACAAAAAAATTAAATAATATAAATATTCAACATGTAATGCCCATTATTATTCACAGCGACATGTAGTCCCCATTAAGATTCACAATGATCAGTGACATGCGTTGCATCTGTATCTAAAATTTGAATATTCTTCACAGGTTCATTTAAAGGTTGCTCTTCTGTGCTGCTTTCTACATTGCTCGGTTATTTAAGATAGTTGCTATAATGCAATCTTAAATAATCTTGATTTACAATTATACATGTAATCATGACCGTTTCGGGATTCTATATTATCAGCTAATGACGATTTTGCCTTACTTGGATCTTGATTAATTTATCTTTTTATTGTAAATTTATTTATAATAAAAAGATAAATTGCGGAACAATCAGGATCCAAGCAAGGCAAAAGTCATTAGCTGATGATATAGAATTCCGAAACGCTCATAATTACATGTATAATTGTAAATCAAGATTATTTAAGATAATTGCATTATTGCAACTATCTTAAATAATCGAGTAGTGCAGAAAGTAACACAGAAGAGTTATCATTGCAACAAAATGGCAACAAAGTCGCCATCAGCTTAGAATCCTTTTAATTTCCGAAATATTTTTTATGACTTGTTTCATTTTTGAATTTCAACATTTTCGCCATTTTATTTACATCTTTTTTCGCCTTTCTAATAATAATTTCGTGGGGCCTATATGTTGAATACTTGTAGTATATTATTTTTATTGACACGTAGCATTTAATAATTGGTCTTCGTATTACTATGTTCCAAGTATAAACTAATTTGTATATCTTTTTTTTAACTAATGTTTTTTAACTAATACAATATTGTATTATTTTATATTCTCTTAATACAAAAGTTATATCTCACTGCAAATTTTCATCAAATCCATGAGTGATATTTAAACTTTAGATACAAGTTTCCATCGCCACTTGTATCTGGTATAAATTTATCTGTACATACTTATAATGGTAGAATTTTACTAAACTACTTTGAGTAGCAACTGTGTCTGATCATAAAGAAAAAAAATTTGAGAAGATTGATACAGCAAATGAGAGTTATTTTTAGGTAGATGTTTATGTAAAATTTTTAAGTAGTTTCATAACATTATAATTCTTTGTCTTTTTTTTAGGAAACTGAGACAAAACAAGTCAGAAGACAAACGAATGATTAATATAAAATAAGATAAATTATTCCATGTATATCGGATTATGATATTCTTGAATATTATTTCTGTATTTGTAATTTTTGATAGAAAATATCTTTGTATAGTTTTAATAATTTACAATTTAAATTGAATAGAGTAATGTTTGATTGATTAATCAGGATAAAGAAATTTGTATTTGTTTTAACCTGCCTGGTCAATCAAACACTATTCTTCAAACTATTAAAAATGACATTACATCTCTTTCTTAAAATATCAAAAAACATTTTATTAGCAAATTTGAAATGTAGAAATGATAAAAAAAGAAAAAAAATATTTAAAAAGCATAGATTTTAAACAAAGTATTTCAATTTTTTATTCTATTTTATTTTATAATGAATATATTAAATATATTATTTTACAATAATAAATATATATATATATATATATATATATATATATAAATATATTATTTTATACTAATAATATTCTATTGGCGATGGATCATAGGTGAAAATATATAGATATAAAATTGAACGAAATACTTTAATATTCATTCAATAATGAATGTTCTAATTACCTCTTTAAATATTTTTATTCGTCTTTCAAGCATTTCTGAATTTCAAATTTACCGCCAATTCGCTACGAGACTCTCGAGTATCTTCGATATCTCGAGAACTACAACGGTTTCTTTCGAATCGCAAGCAGTCATGGCGTTGCGGCGGTTCACGAAACCGCAATCGAGTGCTCTCCGTATTTTTCGCAATTATTATTATTTGAAAGTAGATTTAGCCGGCAAAAAACTAACGCGAGTGTTTCATAGACAGGTGTGTCAAACGTTCGTCGCAAGTTAAACGTGCGCAAGAGTTATACATGCAAATGTTGCAATTTATCAACGCATCGGCGATGTACTTTTCTACCTCCGGAAGGAGTCGACCGATATCTCCTTTTCTTCACCTAAAATACAGTCAAAGCGCAACGGATGCACCAATGGATCATTGCCAGGTATGCGTGCTAAAATATTTCGGGCATTATTTCTCCGTTGAATAACTTGCAATTAATACATCACGTCGAAACGGTTGCAGTTCAAGAGTGAGTGGGAGGGATGAGAAAGAAAGAGAGAAAGAATAAAAAAAAAATACAATATATATGTATTTTCGTCCGAATCGTTTTGGCTTAATCAAGATGTCATTGCTATCATATTCGAACCTCTCCGTATTTCTCATGATAATTATTGTTTATCATGATTATTATATATGTACATATTAATATTCAATCGGCGAAATTGTCAATGATAAAATTTTGAACTGCAATTCATTCCTAATGCAGTTTTTCTTTTTATACGTTAAATAACAAAAAATTGATAATGCAATCTACATCAACAAAATATTTCAAGTATATTCGATAAATAATTCACCAATTAAATTAAATTAATTTAAATTAAATTACATCTTCGATGCGAAAAATATTTTTTCTATTTTTATTTTTTTTATGCTTGTTTCTTATTTTTTTATATTCAATAATAATTTATAATAATAATAAATTACACGATCCACATCTAGCTATTTATTATTATGATTGCCAACAACTTCTGCTATGCAGATATTTTTTATTATATATATGATAATGTAAAAATATCTCACGTAGATAAAACTTCCGGGTAACAAAAATTTACGCTAGATGACTTTAGTGAACATTTTGTAGTGCCTCGTGTGATTACACAATATGTACACTTTATTTTCAAATTTTTGTTTGAACAAAATTTTAATATATTAAAATTTTAGAAATAAAAATATTACGCGCTTTATGACAATCGTAGCTTTCCGATAAATAATACGAGTATTAGATACATATTTTTAATCGCTTCGTCGTCATATGTGGTAGTGTTACATATATCTCGTTTGAGGTAAGGTTACAAATATTAATTACGTATGCATTTTACTATTTTAATATAATAATCAATTTCAAAATATAATTTATTATTCAACTTTTTACATACAAGCTTTGAAATTAATCCGAAGAGTCGTATAATAATATAACAAAATAGCAAATATTATAAAATGTTTCGATTATTTTTTTCCATGTTGACTTATCTAATTTTTCTTTTCTCTCGGTATTTTCTTTTTAACGCTTGAAAATGTGATAACTTGGTACTCGGAAAAGCACGGAAAGGCAACGCGAAATTAAGTGGTGAGGTGAAACTCTCGGTTCCACTCTGCTCGCGAAATGATTGATCGTCGTCGGAAACGGCCGGCAGCTTTCGTGCGCAAATAAAAAGGCTTGGCCTCCGCGTACTCGAGAGTAGTATTATGTATGTAATGGATTTAACCTTCCGCGCGCGCTTCCACGCGAGGGCGCGCGGGGGCGGAAATTAATTATATTTGTTTAATTTTCGAGATGAAAAAAGCAGCTGGCACTATGCCTCGCCCATGCGCGACTCTAATCCGAAAAAAGAGAAAAATAAAGATAGAGAGAGAGAGAGAAAAAATTGTTGCTGAAGATTCTAATACGTGACATTGAAAAAAATGTGAACTTTAATTATGAAATTATAATTATGTAATTAGAAAAGAAATATCGAAATAACACACATATTTATATAAATTATACTACAAGTTTTGATATAATTTATAATTTTAAAGAAATATTTTTCATATTGTCTAAATATAATATACATTTCCTCTTCAACTTTATGTAATAATTTCGTTTCATAGAGAATCACAGACTTTATTGTTTTGAATCTTAAATTACCATTGCATCTCGGAAAGTTTAATAATTACATAATAATAGCACTTACAGAATTGCATAATAATTGGACTTTATCTTTAAATCGACTTATGGACTTCTAAGATGCGAGGATAATTATTTACGATTCGAAACAATTGAAGAGAGCAGAAAACTATGTAATTTTATAAAACGAAATTATTGCATAATTGAGAAAAATCGTTTATTATATTTAGAACATGGAACATCTTTTTCTGAAAAGTACAAGATATATTAATAATATACCTGTTATTTGATCGACGTAACATCGATTAAATTAATTCAAAAGCCGTACTCGTTAAAAAACGTTAATACGATACACGGCGATAGAATTATTCGTCACATGATCAATCGTTACATCATATCGATGCAACATGAATCGTAGATCGTTATGCCTGCATTTGCATATACGTTGTCCGATATCGGCGTACCATCAGTCACGTTGCAACCCAGTGTTTGTTGCTCTCGTCGATTACCGGATATCAACACTTCACGTTCACATTTCCCTGTGCGTGCCAGAAAAAGGAGCGAAACTCGAGATAAGCATCTTATTAATTATGCTACGTATTGATATAACTATATGGTCGTCTGCATTTTATACATAATTGCGCCTGCGATGCGTCAAATGATTCGCGACCAAAACATTCGTCCTTATCAGTCTCAATTAATGTAATCTGACTATATAAACTTTGAATCGCGTAATTTTTTTTCAGAGCAAAATATACAGAAACGAGAATTAAATGAAAAACATTTTTATTGTTAATAATCATGTAATGCTTTTGAGGTAATGTGTTGTGTATACGCAAACACACTCTGTATCTCAAAAATATAAATTAAGCTGCGCATAATTTATCTAAATTTATCTCATTTATTTACAAATTAAATTTAGATTAATTAATACGCAGTTGAAATGCGCACACGCGAAATATGTTCTAATGTAGTTCGACATTACATTCTACAAAAATTTTTGACGATAACAACTAATTAGTTTGTTTTTCACGATAAGAATATCGCTATATACAACAAAGGTTTCCGAGAGATAAATTTTTTCGTCAAATCTCTGTCGGCTATGGAACTTTGGAACGCAATCTAAATCCAACAATAGGACGCGATAACATTTACGATTTTCGGTATCGCTTTCCTGTAAATAAATGACCCGAATATAATGGCACAGTAAATATCACGTGCGCATGTTTAAAACGCTTCTTTGCAACGGTAACGCGAATTTCCGGAAAGAGATTCGGGGAATAATCGCTACGCTATACGATCAAAAGATCTTTCCCAGAAAAATGCATGCAATGGAATGCAGTAATATGCAGGTTAATTCGAAGACACATCTGACAATCACATTTTTTATTTAATTTAAATATATATTTTTCAAATCATATTTTCATCGTGTTTCGTAATTAATCATTGTTCGTGGGAGAAAAATAAATAGATGGATAAAATTATTCATCTCAAATTTTCATGAGTTGTAAAATATCAAACAGCGGTAAAAAAAATTAATTAATATAAGCAGAAGTTAAAAATATTGCTCGTATAATTTTTATAAATCATAAAATATTAAAGTAGAATTAGGATATTTAAAAATTTAGATATGTTATTTCAGAAAATATGTAAAATTTTTATGCAAATCTCTCACTTATTTTTTTCTTTAATGTCAAACTTGTAACAAACGAATAGATTGAATTGTAAATTTATCTCGGAGTCTGTACATAAAGTTTGCACGGACGACTGCATTAAAATCGAGACTGATAATGACGAATGTGTCGATCGGCCTGAAAATCGTTCAATGCATCGTGCATGCAATTGCATAAGATAGAGACAACCAATTACAGACGTATACGAGCATATGATAGTGTGGAATAATTGAGATTAGCGTTGATATCGACATATTAACATGACAATTACAGTAATCAAATAGTAATTCTCATCACTTAAAATTTATTAGAAGAGAAAATGTTTAAAGGCATATTTTTTTATTTGCAGAAAATTTTATAATAAACTTTAATGTTTAAAAATAATATAGACAAACATTTTAAATTGGAATATATAAATATTGAAACTTGATCACATTTACTATATATATATTTGTATTTTATATAGGCAAAGATTCTTAATTAAAAAATATTTTTTTAATTTATTAGATGAGAAAATATTTAAAGGCATATTTTTTTGTTTGCAAATTTTATAGTAAACTTTAATGTTTAAAAATAATATAAGCAAACAATTTCAATTGGAAGATATAAATATTGAAACTCAATCACATTTACTAATATATATTTGCATTTTAGATAGGCAAAGATTTGTACCTATCTATTTTTAAAATCTTTTTGAAGGTACGCGAAACTCGATATGTAATATGTATCTTACATTTCGCATTTGCTTATTTTTCACCATCGTCGCAACTTTTCGAAAACTTCAACTTTAGCACGAAACATATATATACATATAAACTCGTCCAAAGTTGTATACGAAAAGAGACGGCGATAGATCCGTAGACAGCCGCGGGCGAGCGAGACAGAGAATGTAAAACGTCGTTTCCACTTGTTCACACAAGTCCGTTGAGCATCGTCATTAAACGAGCGTATCAATTAGCGAGATCGATATCTCCGATATCATCCGCGCTCCGAAATCGTTCGCGAACGATCTTCGACGATTTTGACAGTTCATGACAGCTCGAGTCACGTGGCCGTTATGAAGTTTCTGTCGGTGTAATAGCACCTTAATCTTCTGGTACCGGCGTTCAAACGCTCCCTCCAGCGTCCCAGAGGCCTCGTAGTGCGCATGTGCTCACCACTTCCTAGTAGCGTCGAACGTCTGGCCAATGGGACGCGCCCGGTAACGTCATCGGCGACCACTCGGCGTCGCGGGCAATGACGACGTCTCTATTTTCGGCCGACGTGACTCACGGGATATAAGCGAGTACGTTTAGTTGGGTGTTCACAAGTTGTCGAGCCATCGTCGTGCACGGGTAAATACGCCTTCGTCGCGATCTCTGCATTCCGCAACAGAGAGACGGCACACGCGCACCGCCCGGTCCCGTCGCCGTCGTCGTCGTGAGTCATTGTTGTGTTGACAGCCGTAGCGGGCGGTAGTCAGTCGAGCCTCCTCGTGCACGGTGGTGCTGTTGTTACCGCGGTAAACCGTATCAAACGTCAGGTATCGACGTGTCTTCTGCGCCGTTTCGCGATCAACAGTGCCGTCCGCAGTTGTGCGCGATATACCAAGTGTCGCGAAACGTGCTCGTGAAGTGAAGAACAGATAGAGAGAAAGAGAGAGAAACCCGGAGTCACCGTTGGTGGATTTTTACGTACAGTCGCGCACGCGATTATATAATCGCCGCAGCGCGGAGCAAAGTGTTCGCAAGAGTTGACGTAGACAGATAGAGATAGAGAAAGAAAGAAGAGGATAAGGAAGAGGAGAAACAAGAAAGAAGGTAGATACACTTATGTGTAGTTTAAAATAACGCGTATATTTACATATATATATATATACATATATATATATATATATATATACTGAGAAAAGTTAGGAAGAAGTTGTTGGATATATACGTGAACCTTGAAGGAAGTTTTCCTTTGTAGCTCTTCGAGCCCGGAGTCTGCTCGCTCCGGAGGCGAAAGGAGACGGTCTCGTTCACGAGGGGGAACCTCGTCTATTCCATCGAGCAACGAGTTTATCAGCCCGGCGGTATCCATGGTGCGAAGCTTGACGATGGAACCGACGTTCTACGAGGACGCGAGCGTTTACGGCGCGGTGAACGGTCGTGAGAACAGCATGGGTCAGCTTAAGCGGAACCTCACGCTAGATCTGAACGGTTGCCAGAGGCAGGGACCACAGGCGAAGAGGCCGCGATTGGGCCCGTTGCCGCCTGCGCTCAACAACGTCACGCCGATCCTGAGCTCGCCGGATCTCAACATGCTGAAGCTGGCCTCGCCGGAGCTGGAAAAGTTCATCATGACGCAGTCCGACAGCCTGGTCACCGGTCTGTCCACACCGACCACCCAGATTCTCTTCCCCAAAACTGTTACCGAGGCTCAGGAACTGTACGCGCGCGGCTTCGTCGACGCGCTCAACGAGCTACATCACTCCGACAGTTCACAGGAACCCGGCAGCGTGCATGGCGCGACTTACACGACCCTGGAGCCGCCCGGTAGCGTCCAAAGTACAGAGTCCACCATGAGCAATCCGAACCTGGTGCATGTGAAGGACGAGCCGCAGACGGTCCCAAGCGTGTCGAGCACACCGCCGATGTCGCCGATTGATATGGAGAACCAGGAGAAGATCAAGCTGGAGAGGAAGCGACAGAGGAATCGCGTGGCCGCTTCCAAGTGCCGGCGACGCAAGCTCGAGCGCATCTCCAGGCTCGAGGACAAGGTCAAACTGCTCAAGGGCGAGAACACCGAGCTGAGTGGCATCGTGCACAAGCTCAAAGAACACGTGTGCCGGCTGAAGGAACAGGTCATGGACCACGTGAATGCCGGCTGTCACATCGTGGCCGGTCAATTCTGAAGTTTCTCAACCCCTCTTTCGCCCGGGGATGAAACTGCGAATGTTAAAGCTCGCTCCTTTTGCGATCGCCCTTTTTTCTCGCCGGATTCGCCGCTGTGCTCTTCATCATCGTCGTCGTCGTCGTCTTGCCTTTCGTAGTTCCCACGAAGGAACGGATATTGAACTTTTCGCAACAGCTGTTAATCGCCGTTCGAATTTCGTCCTTCCGCGACTTGTAATCTGAAAGGATTTTTTCATCACGTGGATACGGGCCTATGATTCGCATGTATGAAGATGTTCTCTCTCTTTACTTCAACAAAGTTTAGAATAAATATCTTTCCTGTAATATGAGAAAGAAACCAAATAGCTTTATAAAAAGCAAAGTCCATCTCTGACTGCTGATATTGCTAATGGAAAAGTTCGGAGCAGAGAAAGCGCTATCTTTAAAAAGAAAAAAGAGGACGGCGGAAAGAAGAACCTTCACAAATGAAGGAGAAAAGAAGTCGGTCCATGGTCCACCACGTTTACGGTTTTTCTGTCTTTAATTCTTCTGTGACATGACTGGGAGGAGACACGAGCAACAGCGAGCAGCAGGCGGAGCAGGAGAAGGAGAGAAGGAGGTGACGGTCAAAGTGGAGAAAGAGGAAGGAGTGCCTTCGTATAGACGTGAAACGTAAAGAATGCTTTTAGAAGAGTGGCGGGCGTGCGCGCGTGCGTGTTTTGCGCATGCGAGAGACTTTATACGCACGAACACGCTCGACAAATGCGTGCGTGCGTGCGTGCATGCATGTATGTATGTATGAGAGGAAGAAAGAGCGAGAGAGTCTGTATGAGAGAACGAAATAGAGTATATATGTAGATATACGCGTGTGCGAGAAAGAGAAAGAGGGAGATCACGCGTAGCGCGAGAGGGGAGAATATCGCGACAGCCATTTTAGAGAACGCGAGAGAGCCGGCGGGAGATACGAATCTTTCTCTACCGGATGGTGAATCCATCTTTTCACTCTTCCCGTTTGTCGCATCGGAAAAGTTGTTCCCGTTTTCACGACTTTCGACGATCCCTTTGTATATCTTAGAACGAAATCGATTTTCTCGTTCGATTGCATTGTGTAAATATCTATCTGCCGCGATGATGATTTTTGTAAAGCAACTCCCTTTTTTCTTATTTCTTCAGGCACTTAACAGGCAGGGCCGATTTTCTTCTCTTTGCAGATCTCGCGATCTTTGCATTGTAAATTTCAAATATACGAGGCGTTCGCTTTCCGAGTGACGTAAATGCAATTTTTTAAATGTTTTTTCCCTCGATACAGAGAGAAATGCGATCATCGAAGTAATTTTTTTTCGCACTGCGAGAGATTTTCGAGAGTCATGACACTTTGTAAAAGTAAACGTCTCGTTTGCAGGCTGCGAGAATTGTACATTTTTGTCGAATATAGGTATCGACGATCTCGCGATCGCGGTTTTTTTTATCGCTCTTTCGACTCGGACGATTTATAGCTCATGGATCAATCAGAAAGAGAGATTTTACCTTATTCTTTTTGGCGCGATTACGCTGAGAACCGTACGACGGACTACTTGTGATAAGCGCAATCAAACCGGGAGATCACGTTTGCCTTGTACCGAATGCACCTTCGCGAGCGTCGAGAGAGACTCGAGCATTCCGCTAGTTTTGGAAACTTCTACACACTTTGGTGCATACAAATTGACAAATTAATTCTAAGGAGTACGGTGCTGTATTATAGCTGCGCAAAAAAAAAAAAACGTGTATTAGGGCGGTATGTTATAATGACGCGTATTCTAAACGTATCAGATGATAAAATTAGTCAACGACAATTGAGCATTCATCCTAAAAACGAGATTAGTTTACTGATCAATACGTGTCTTTTTTTGTTTTAAATACATGGTTTTAAATTTTCACAATATTTTCTCTTATACGAGTCTCTGTTATGCAAATTGAATATTGAACGATAAAATGAATCATAATATTTTTTAGACCAAAACAAAGTTATACATAAAATGTATATATCAAGAGAAATGATTTTTGTATCAAGTATATATATAATATATATATATGTAAAAAGTTTTGAATTGTTATAAATAATGTAAAAATATATAAAAAAAAATTGTTTTTGTATATTCATAAATATTTTAAATTAATTGAATTTAAATAAAGAGATACATGTAATATATATCTATATATTGCGAATTAAGAAAAGTATCGCGAGAAGACGCGTTCACTATAACCTCGCCCCGTGCACTCGTTGTCCGATTCTTCGATATTTCTCCGACGTGCCTCGTTGTCGTTTCGCCAACAACGCAGATTGATTGGATTGCATCGAAATGACCTCGTTTTTTAAACCCCGCTTTTGAAAGGACTAGCGCTATTAAGGCTGTACAAATAGAATAGCAATCGTTCGTCTCGCCAGTCGCGCTGAACTTGTCGAAGAATCGTCATCCTGAGCAAAAAGGATGGATATACGATATATTAGGCTCGCGGTTAAAAGGATTCTTTAATTATATAACGTGCGTTTATTAATCGGATTATGCGCGATTACTGACGCATTTAGAGAGTTAATCGAAACGATCATGCATAATTATATACGATCGAGCGATCATGCTTATCGTTGTCAGTACACACGAAATATATTTCGAAAAATTGATTTTAATTATAATCCGACTGTTTTATTTAAATACGAATTCATCTTTTAAATGCAAAAATATTCGCAACAATTTATTATATTAGTTTTTCGTCGTTGATCAAATTCAAGAAGTGATGCTGTGATGAACCTGTTATGAATTAAAATCGCATACGGAGCAAACAAAATCGATAAAAAAAAAAAATTAATTTTGCCTCGTATGCACATTTATATGTTCGTAACCGCGATTAAGTTAATATCGGGTTCGTCCGCGCGACTCCGGGAAGCTCTAAAATCTTTCCCTTAGCTCTTAAGCCAGCGAGTCACGTTCTCCTTGATTTTTTCTGCGCGACACATCGCGTAGAATTCCATATTTCGTCATATGTGCATCTAGTCTTGTCCAGTATGCCCTTATAACTTGCGCGCAATATGTGTATGCGTGTAGCCGCATATTAATATACACACACACACACACACACAACATAACATGCACACCTACATAATACAGTATACACACGATTGTCGCTGGGACCGCGTTCACCACGTGTCGCAAGCTACGTCGGTTTTCCGCGACATTGGTACCAGGATGAGAGACGTCCGCATTGCTCGGATACACATTCGCCATTCTTCGTACATTCATACATTAGTTAACATACGAGGCCGTATATTTTAATACCAAGATCGTAGGCTTAGTCCGAAGATGCTCGCAAAATATCGTTATCGCGACACAGTTCGATATCTGCAATAAGAGAAAACTTCTTTATGACGTGAAAATTGTACGCCAGATGTCCAGCGTAATCTCTCCGTTCGATCCTCGATAAAGTTATTTTTCTGAGAAAAGTTCTTAAAGAAAAATTCTCTCTTTGAAGTACATCTCGAAAAACTTCTCGTATAGATATAACGAGCGGAAAGATTAAAGCTAGATACCTATATCGTAGGGACAAGCGAGCAATAACAAAGCAATCTTACCTCCGTTTCGCGTATTATTTGTATGAGACGGATCGCGAAGAAAAATAAGTACTTGAGTGGACGGAGAAAAATCACGATTACGCGCTATATCGGCCGGGCTATTGCGCAATTTTTCGCAAATAATGTCCGTATAATTTTGTGCGAGAGAATTTTCAAGTTCTTCGAATCGTAATAAATCAGGACAGTGCATAAGATAATTTTTACGACGATTATTGTAATAAAAAAAAAATATATATATATAATATATATAGTAATATAAAAATAGAGGATAAAATATATATTTATTATGATTTATTTTTACAGAGGAAGAGATATTTTTCTGTGAGAAAATCATGCGACGTATAAAAAGCGCGATATTCGATTAATGCTAGGAATTATGTAAATTTAAGCCTTTGTCACTCAACAAAACGTATTTTTCTTCGTGCGGACGTTGCGTAACATTGGCGTGAAATCTATACTCGGTGTGCGTGGCATGTGAACGCAACGCGGACCACACCTATCGATTTATCCACGCGAGTCGTGTCTTCGACGCAGGAGGAAATTATATATATATATTTCGCTGAAAATATTTTTGGGCAATTATTTTCGTACGGACGATATCACGCGCGAGCGAATGATAAACGTCAAAGAGCGAAAAACAAATTTCCTCTTTTCGAATACAACGCTCGTCTCATATATATTTGCGCGAGAGCTTTTTTGACGGAGCTTCAATCAAATTAATTCATTAAACGCGCTAACGATAGGCGAATCGACTCTCTTCGCGACGGAGATCGCGATCGATCTTTTATACTTTATAAAACGCACGTTTTATTGATACGAGAAGGAGAAGGAGGACGTCAGAAAAATTTGCGCGCTTAACTTTTGTGACTGTCCGTCTCTGTCGACCTCGTTCTCCTTCTCTCTGTACTTTTTTTTAACATTAACACATAACTCGAGAATGTGAAAATGTATTTATTTCCCAAGATTAATTTTCCGGTACTCGCAACAATCACTATAATAAACTATAGTATTTTGCGAAAAAAAAAATTATACAATACAGAAAGCAATTCGCATGAATTTCATGGATAAAAATTCTTTTACACGTATAAAACAGATTTAACATTTTTATGTATATATTTTATGGAAAAAAAATTGTGGATGAATCATTGGATTATTACAAAAATACTTATACTAATACACAATAACAATTATTATAGTAGCGAGTAACGGTGGATTAAAGTGCGCGCTGTTTCCTCTCGCTTAATTTTATGCTCTTTGTATTTATTTGTCGCTCGATCAGAATCTCGGATTTTGACGAAAACGAGATAGAAAGACAAAAAAAAAAATAATAAAACTCGCGAGTCTTTGCTTCGCATATCTGTACATTTTTTTAAACATTTAACTCTTTGCGGTCGATGCAAGAAAAAGATTTTATCTCAGAGAAGACGTTTCTTTTGGCGGAGTTTCAACATTTCGATTATTTTGGAATTTAAAAGATTTAAGAATGGATGGTATATATAGTGTCGCGAGTTTTAAAATTCCGGGCTAAATCGTATAATTCTAATTGTAAGGTAAATTTTCTCGTTTGTAAATATATTATCGCGCATTTAACGTTAAATATGATTGACAGATTTTTATCTGAATAAGTATCGATTAAATAGGAACGAGAAACAGACTCGCGAGTATGAATCAAACATTCGCATACACGGTGTGCCTTTTTTTCCTCGAGTTAATCGTGCGAGCGACATTATTTTTCAAGGGCATGCGTCTTTTTTCTCTGGGCGTTAGCGGGCGAGAAAAAGCGGTGGCGCTAAACGTATGAAAGTAATGAAAACCACATGTGATTTAGTCAGTAAGCGAGAAAAACCCCCATTAGAGTATAATATCGCGTGGCGAGGTGTTGTGCGGTGGTTAACGACGCCTGTGAAAGAAAGATAAGAACATACACATACACTCACACACGCGTGCGCTGTAGAGTTATGTATAACATTATACATGAGAGTATAAATATATTGCTATAAATATATATATATATAAAATCTAATAATATTATATATATACACATATATATATGTTATATATTGTCTACCGACAGAGCGAAGAAATCTTTTTTACGAATAATTTTATTTTTGAATGAAATACGACGAAAAATAAAATTTCAATATATATATATATATATCTATATATATATATATATTAAATGTGATCAAGTTGTATGATTTTCTTTTGCATCCTTGATATATAGTAAGTTTTAGCAATAATAATTTATTTCCCAATCCTTCTAATTCTTTACATAGCTTACAAATATTTGAATTCTCGAATGCACTTTAATATACAACACTATTTCTATTGTGTTGCTTATAAAAGAATCTCTCTCTCTCTCGAAAGAATATCAAATTAGTAAAGATATATTGCAACTCTGAAAGCAATAGAAACAAAGAAGTGAAAGAGAACAAAGAGGAATTCGAGCATAGAACAGCTCTGCATTCCCCTTCTCTCTTTGTCAACGTTAATTATTGCAATTGACTAATTGGCTCAATTGAGAAAGTTCTCGGTACAAATTAAAATCGGCGAACGTAGTTTCAAAAAAATGCTCTAATTATTGGAACGACCTTTTGGTCTGAAAAATCTCTTTAACGAACTAAAAATCCTATTTTATTTTCCTTCTAATATCTAACAAGTCAACAATTTAAATTAAAAATGAAACAAAAATGTTCAAACAAAATTATTAATAAATGATTGTTTTGATTAAACTATGCAATAATTAACTGTGTCTTTATAATAAAAAGTATTACTTGCTTATTATACAGATAATATGTATATTTTTATGAAAGATAAATATAGGTTTAGTAATCTCTCATTCACTCGATAAATCTATCAGAATATTGCTTTTTTTTTAATGATATCCGTAGATCTTATATAATACTTGCAACTAGTCAATGCTTTAATTATATATATCTCTTTCATTTTTGCTCAATCATTAATTTAACGCGCAAACGGACAACAGCGAAGAGAACTTTCATTAACATTTATAAGTTATACGTTAATGAGAAGCGTAATTTCTTTAAATGTTTCAAATTGAGACATATTTTATTACTCTTTTGAAAACTAACAAACAATCTTAAGACGCGATATAAGACTTTCACTGATATTCCAGATAATAATTAACTTCATACGCAGGTTTAGTGAGTAAACTTTCTCACGATTGCAAAGTAAAGAGAGATATCGCGGAAATCGTTGCTTAAGATATGCAGTATTATATCCAAGATTATATTGCGATGCGATACTTTCCTAGATTTCGCACTCGTGCATTTAGCCTTATTTAACAAGCAAATTTACTTTGGAGAGAAAATAGCACTAGAATGTACAAGTCACGTTCATTAGAATTAAAATGTCACGAAAGGAGGAACGTTATTTCTCTCTCCTTCATCTCTCTCTTCTGCCCTAAGAAAATTATCCATCAGCTTTTGGATTCTGCGGTGTCAGGAGACACGTGTGCACGATTATCGCATTTAAGATTACACCCAGCGCACTTGGCCATTAATAATTCGCGTTATTCTTAGTCGGAAGGACGCTTACGAGCGTGTCGAGCACAAAGACGCGCGAACTCTAGAAATCGCAAGGTTTTATGAAAGTCGAAAGAAAGGCGATGATTATAGGAATTCATGGTCACAAATACGAATCAATAAAATGCAGTATAAATTAGACCGAGCTCGGAATGCGTGGCCTAAAATAAGATGCATATACAACCGCATTCGTTAATTCAAATGCAACAATATATATGCCAGAGGGAATAATAGATAGTCATTAATTATCGAGGAAAACAGGAAAAAAACATTTGGCATTTAAATTAAAAAAGCTAATGAAACAGGAATTTTACAGCAAAATTATTCTGTATATGTAAACTGGAAAAAAAATTTATTGAATTTGAATGAATATTTATTTCAATACTGCTTCATAAATTATTTATTTGGAATTAATAATATTGAATTGATGTGAAAAATATTTATTTACTATAAGAAAATTCTTTTCACAACAGAAATAAATATTTGTTTCAAATAAATGATTGATTAGACAGTATTGAAATAAATATTTATTAATTTAATAATTTTTTTTTCAGGTACACGTACAATATTATTGTCATTATATTATTTTAGTTTAAATAATTATAATATTATTAATAATTATTTAAAAATCTATATTCTCTACCTACATGATAACATTACATGTTTTAAATAATATAATTAATTATTATGTTTGCATTTGTATTTCGCAAAATCATTTCTCAAATTTATTTTATTTATAAATTTATTTTATACTATGTATCAGTAATGATATGATATTATTAACTATAACTAAATGTGGGAGAAGCAAATTGTGATGCGCAATGCTGTTTTTTTCACGCATTGAGCCAAAGATAAAAATTCGGAGGACGCGCCGCTTAGACTCGCGTGCAGGAAAAATATCGCCCGCGTTATCGGCATCGTTATCGCGGCCGTTATCAGCGTGCGCGCTTTAGTCGGTTTAGTTATTGAATTCGCCTTATCGCAAGGGGAAAAGCGAACGAGCTGCCGTTCCACTGATCTGAGTCCTTTACGCGTCGATTGCATATTTTAAACGGAAACAAATGCGCGAATCGCTCTAGACAATCGATGGAAGACCAGAAATTTGACTAAAAAAAAAAAAACGTAGTTTTTAACAAGCTTTAAAATTAAAGCTATATTACACGAATTTTTACGCGATATCAGCATTCGTTGATCAATGAGGTTTTTCACGATTCCTTTCTCGAATTGATCAATTCCTAATTAAACTCCGCGATCGTGAATATCGCGGTGATTACGTTGACGTAGAGAGGAAAAGGAGGACTTATAGAACCTTGGTGCCAGGTCGGGGACGATTACCGACGAAGAGGAGGCACGAGTGACGTTTCTTTTTTTTTTGTTTCTCTCTCTTTTTTTTCTTCTTCCTTTTTCTTCCATTTACCTTGGCTTTGGTGGAATGTAAGAGCTAAATGAACGTGTCTCGAAGAGAGTGGCTGGTTTATTTGGATAAAAAGAAACGTTGTAACGTGCTTGCGACATGTCGCTGGACCAGTATTACGCGTTAATTGCATTTATTTAATTTAAAGCGAATATAGAGACTTCACGAATTTTTTGTGATACACAGATCTGTATATATAAATATATTTATATGCATATATATTAATATAAATATATTTATATAAATATATTTATATAAATTAGAAATAATGATTTTTTATCTTACAATTAGAAATATTTTAACCGTGACAATTTTTAAAATAGATTTATCTTTATAAAGATAAATCTATTTTAAAAATTGTCACGGTAAAATATTTCTAATTGTAAGATAAAAATTCATTATTTCTAAAAAAAAATGTTATTAAAAATAAGTACTTGAAACACGTTTTTGAATAATTATGTTTCAGCTAGACGAACGCAAAATGTAATATCTCACAAATTTGTTGGTTCCATGTGACCTCGTTCAACAATTGATATCAATCATAAAGGAATACCGCCAGATATAATACCAGGAAAACAAAAGGTACGTGGAAGTAGTGTAGTTATATAAATCAATGCAAATGGATAAAGATTTAAAGCATTCCACACGAGTGTCTTATTACCGAGCCTCGAATATATATATTCAACGAGGGCTGACCTTCGATTATTGCTTGACGCTTTCGATTATTGAGGTGATTGATTGCGCAATTAACTCTACTGTAAAAGTAATTTATGTACGTAGAGAAATGTCAGCGTTATCTTTTGGGAGAACTTAAAGCCGATGGCTTATTTGTATACAAGAAAATGAATTTTTATTTAAATTTTTATTTGAAAACGTCAGATGTGAATAATCAGCTGTTTTTGTAATCACGAAACAGCTGATCGTTATCATAGTTGATTAATGCTGAATACTCGAAAGAAATTTAATTTCGCAAATCATGTTTTTATAATTAATTAATGCAAATATCTCTGTGTTATTGTTGACATTACATTTATTGCTGATTGGCAATCGTATTGATAGTATCATAAACTGTCAACTCGCGTTGAAATTAAACCGCTTTCCAAGTGTTTCAAGATAACGAAAGCATTTCATCGCGCAAGAGTTTTGACGGCAGGGATAAGATATTGAGTTTCTGGAAATGGAACACTTCGAACTTATATTGTTAGCTCTCTTTCTCATTCTTGCATCTAGTTGATAATCGGGAGTTGGATTTCGCCCAAAGTTAAAAGCGTAATAATTCATCGATATCATACATATAGAGTCAAGGGCTCGAAACGACGTAGATGAAGATCGTCGCGTTTGTGCCTGCGTTTGAACATACGATGAGACGAGATAAGATTATAAATTACTTCCCATATCTTCGTTGCGTGTACTGGCTGCTTCAAGTGTTGCTTTTTAAATTTTCTGGGAAATTAATCGCGCGTCGATATTAAATATGTCGAAGATACGGTTCCGCGTAAACGAGTATCGAATTGAAATTTCTGGAAAAGTTTATTAGAAATAAAGTAATGAACGATAATGGATTCTCCGTTATATTTGCCGAATGGTCGATGCTTATACAGGAATATCCTGTACATCGTGTTTACTCGCGGCTTCATTCGAACTCATGGATTTTCAACGCGCGTCGTCGTTTCGCGTTGCAACGGATATCTTATATATATATACATATATTTATAAATTTTCCGTGACATTTTCCTCCTACGGTGTCGCAGGACGATACTGCGGAATGTTTCGTGCACAAGCGCGCAATTGCAGACCGTTATCGTTTTCCTGAAAGAACGTACAGGGAGACTTGTGGCGCGCGGTATGTGGAACGGATTTCGCTTTATCGCCGAGAATTCTCGGAGCACGCTTCGCCACAAGGCAGAGAAACGCGGCGCAGCAGCGAAAAGGCCTTGACAAGTCAGTTACGTTTGACTTGGCGTCAAATTTAGCAACTAGAATATATTTAATAAATAATAAAAAATAAATAAATATGATTTTAGAATATTAAAAATATTTATTTTTGATACAAATCAAAGTCTATTAAAATAAAAATGACAGAATAGAAACGTTCGACTTGACGTCTTTAGCAACTAGAATATATTTAATAAATAATAAAAAATAAATAAATATAATTTTAGAATATTCAACATATTTTTTTTTCGATACAAATCAAAGTCCGTCAAAATAAAAATGACAGAATTGAAACGTTCGACTTGACGTTTTAAGCAATTAGAATATATTTAATAAATAATAAAAAATAAATAAATATGATTTTAGAATATTAAAAATATTTTTTTTTATACAAATCAAAGTCTATTAAAATAAAAATGACAAAATCATAAGGTTTAGGCAAGGATGAGCTAACGGGAAAAATTCGATTGGATGCACCAGTGCGTATACTAGTGCATACTAAAAAGAGCGTCGCGCATAGAATATCGTAAAAGCATATGGCTAGACTACGAAAGGATTGAATATTCAGAGTTTCGTGGAATTTATGCATGTATGTATGCAACTTCACAAATCTGTGTTTGCGACTTTAAATGCGTATTCTAGCGTGTAGCGTAAATATTCTCAAGAATTTGCATTCGTCGAGGCATGCGTCGACTCAATTGTCAACTTTTAGCCGAATCCTAATCGTTACATCTGATCGTGCGAATGTCAATAAAATTTATACCGCGTTTCACACATAGTTGGAAAATTAGTGTTTTCTTGTTAAAAACGGTCCCTGTTAAAATTTTTGTGTTCAGTATTTAATACATTCATGTGTTAATTTAACAGACAAAACAGAAAAAAGATGTAAAAGTAACAAATAGATTCTGTTTTATTAATGACAAGATTTATCTGTTAAAATTTCCAGAAAAAATGTTTTATTTTCTTTTAGTTAATTTCTATAGATTAAAACTATATGTTTACTTTACGCAAAATTTATTTTAAGTTTACTTGAAGTTTGCATTGATTTTATGTTAAAATATTAACACACAGTATTTGTGTCTCCATATCCATATTATGTTAAATTAACACAAAAAATTCTGTGGACCGTTTGGGACATGTCTGTTAAATTTAACACAAATTTTTCAACTGTGCAATGTACATACGTGAGATACGACAAATCTTACCGAGATTTCACGGTAAATCGACCGGAGTATGTTGAAAGCCGTGTGTCGTCGCGAATGCAACGCGCATAAAACGCAATTCCGCGAGCGAGATTCCGCGAAATCCGTTGAAAATGGATCGCATCCGGGCGAAGGTCGCCTTAGAAGCTAATAGAGCTCTCTGCGCATCTAGATCTCCTTAAACAGAACGATCCGACATCGTCGGATGGAGAAAAATGCGAGGCCGCGATATATCGCGTCGATATATCCGTATGGAGTTACAAATAAGCCCGCGCGCGAACGCGCGATTATCGTGAATTCCGACGAACACGATGTGTCTCATTATAGCGCGTGTCCTTGAATTAATTGTAGCTCTCCACGCGGAATCGTGAGCGTGCGCTTTGTTCGCCTAATTGCACGCGCGAATTATCGGCTAATTAACGATGGCTCAATAGTAATAATCCCACTCGCTCAATAATCCCTGGTACCTCGCTTCGATTTAAATAATACAATATATCGTCCAGGCTGATTCATCGCGTCAATGAAATTTCCAATATATATTACTTGTTGAAATTTTTCAACATGTTTTCAATTACACAAAGCTATCCTATATTTTTTGAGTACATATATGTATACGTATTATCTTGTATCAAGATACATATGTCAAGCTGTTTATTATACATTATACGTTTACGTTATTCCGAATAAGCCGCTTCCTTAAGCTTTTCTTATCTTTCTCTCAATTTTCAAACAATTTATTCAAACATATGCAATTGCAATATAAAATTTAATGTTATTTGTGGCGATGTTTATCTGTGGATTTTTAAGTATAAATCCAATGGAGTGTTTGTATTCAATTTATGCGTCGTCGCTATTACGCAATCACATAAAAGTTGTGCTGTGTTCGGGTGTTATCTTGATTTTTATATTTTAACCAACTTATCGCGATGTGCCGGCTCTCTGCTATTAAGCGACGAGACGCGTGGGATAATAGATTTCATCTGTTTTTTTATACCCTTTCGCACACAATGGGCCACCGTTGAGAGAGATCTGCACTTTTTTTTAGATCTCCAAAGTCGGTAGAGGAGTATAACGACGCAGAGATATTTAATTATTATATTAATTTTACAATTTTTTGTACGAGTCTCTACAAAACTGTCGCGAAAGAAATTATAAACGTGACTCACACATCGAGAGAGATTTTAATGTCGGAAAGAATTACAAAAAAAAAAAGGAAAAATTATTTTTAAATTCTGAATCTAAAATATTTTCTAACTATATCATATCTGTTCTAATTATATCTTCAAGTTATCAAAGAAGATAATTATTTTTTAACTGATTTTTTCCCTATCTCTTCATAATTATGTTTCTCGTAAATAAATACGTTTATTCCTCTTGATCAGCTTGTAATTTTAATTTTAATTTTACATCTCCGTCGCAATCAAAGAATACGATTGTGAAGTGAATCGATTATCGATTAGCCTCCTTGCAGTCTCTTCTTTGCGAAGGAGACAAGAACCCCGGGCAAAATCTCGCTTCACCTCGCGTTCCTGACATTGTTATCTCTCGACGATGTGTCACTACTTTGGCTATCGGGGAAGAAAACGGGGAGGCACGTCGCAAGATATGTAGGCCAAACTAAAGCGGTAAGCTTTATGATGCAGATACGTTGTCCGCGCGGCCGCATACGCGTGACGGTGACGCGGAATGCGCACGTAAACAAAGAACACGCATGCATGCATGCGTGGGATAAAAGAGTCCGCGCTCGATCGGATCTTCGCGCCAGACGCGGAGTCGGTGCCAGCGTATTATGCCGCTATCGCTAGATCCGAGGGATTACATCGTTTCTTGGATCTTACATCATAATTCGAGGGCCGCGAGGAGGAAAATTCGTGCAATTTTATATAGTCTAGTTCATATTTATTTTCATATAACGCACAATGATATAAACTCTAAACAAATATTGCAGATATGTCGCCTGTGAAGAATGATAAAAATTTATCAGTCTATAAATAGACGGTAATCATCCGTCCTTTATTTTAGAGGACAGGCCTTTATTTCAAGTAGCTGTTCTTTAGATTTATTCATTATCCCAAAACTTAATTTTTCCTTTACTTTAAAAATTTTGCCCTTTATTTTTTATTTTTCATTTTTTAGCGTTTACGAAAACAACGGAACCTCTTATTCGGAATCTGTTTATTATTATTTAAGAAACCAAGGATTTGTTTCAACGCAGTCGAATCAGTTTCAAATTATAAGAATACTTGGACTTTTGATAGTCGCCAATTTTTTTGTTCATCAATTTCCACTTTGGCAAACTGATTTGGAAATATGTTGAAACAAAGCTCTAAAATTTTCAGGTTTGTCCTTTATTTTCTCTTAAAAAATATATAGTCGCCATATTTATAAATATAAGAGGTAAAGTATTTTAATCGATAGTTTAATAATTTTGTATAATTTTTTTTT